CGATGAGCTCTCTTGGGAGTCAAGAGACACGGATTCAGATCCTGCCTGCACCAATCACTCACTGGGAGTGATATCTAGAAGAAGCTGGCTTTTTCTCTACTTCCAGAGCCAAGATTGTTGGCTGGAGGGCCATGGGGCTGAGCCCAAGTGTGGGGGGTGGGAGGGACAGACTGCTGAGGCTCTCCCGCCTTTCCTGAAGAAGGGCACTCATCTGTCTGGCTCCCCTGGACTGGAGGCCGGGCGAGGTGGCACCGAGGTTGTCCGCAGGTGCAGAGCTGGCCTCCCTTCCTTCCTGAGTCCAGCCCTGGGCCACCCTCCAGACACTTCTCTTTTGAGCACGGGGGCAGAGAAGGACCCAGGCAAAGGCTCTCCGCCAGTCTGGGGGCAGAGCCCTTCCCTTTAGGATGCGGGAGGTGACCCGGGGGCAGAAGTGCTGGGGAGCAGACGCCAGGCAGCGGGAAGGCCACGGGGGCAGCAGCCTGGGCCCAGCGGCGCATCACTGACTCACAGCGGCTGGGCCTGGTCCCTTCCCCACTCAGGGCCCGTATCCCCCTTCACACAAGGTCTCTCTCCCAGAGGTCCAACATTCCATGATGCCACGGTCCTCCTGTGCCCAGGCAGCAGCGTGTCCTCACGTGTCTTTCCGGGCCCAGGCGCCCAGGATGACCATGAGGAGGGCCAGGATGATCACGGCATAGATGGTGTGGATGGTGGGCAGCTGCTCCTCCTGGCCCCAGCAGCGTCTGCTGCTGCAGACACGCGGCCAGCTGGGGCCAGCCAAGGAAGAGGCTTTCTGTCGGTGTGCTCGGAGAGAGTGGATCCTGGAAGGAAACATGCCAGGCTTCAGAAAGGGGCCCAGAGGCGCCTAGGATGGCAGGGATAAAAGGCCCTACAAGCCAGAACCTAGCCTGCCACAGCTGGACCAGACCTTGGAGGCATGGCGGTCAGCCTGCCACAGAGGAGCGAGAAAAGGAGGGGGTGCTTGGAGGGGGCATGAGGAGAATGAAGAGGGATGTGGCCTGTCCTGGGAGTGAGCCAGGAGCCCTGGGGCCTGGCTGCTCACTCCTTGGGTGGTCCGGGGCACATCGCTGAAACTTTTCTCTAGACAAAGAGATGTCAGAGACAGAGATGCACTCTCGCCATCGATTCAGACTGAGCTAGTGGTATGACACAGGGCCCCTCGGGGCGGGTGGTGAGCTCCCCATCCTGAGAGGTCCCCAGGCAGAGAGAGCTGCAGGACGCCAGCTGGTCAAGGATGTCATAGGCAGTGTGGCCCCCAGGTCCCTCCCAACTCGGAGATCCTGCCGTGTCCTCTGTGCTAAGGAGAGCCACCCTTAAAATTCCCATCTGTGCCCTCTTCATGCCCAGCCTGGTGGGGCTCTCCCCAAGGCATCCCTGGCCTGCTCTGGGTCTCATTTTCCCCATCTGCCCAATGAGAAGGTTGGTTTTGGTCCCAGGTTCTTAATCGGGGGTCTGTAACCTTCTTTTTCCCAACATGTCAGTAAAATGGGTTTCCTTTGTCATGTGCTGCATTTCATTTTCTGCACTGAAAAGTGGGATTGTGAGGAGGAGTCCACAAGGCTCAGCAGACTGGCAGGAGGGGCCCATGATGCCCAGATAAGGCATGAGCCCCTGGGCATGATCTCTCTGCTCTGCATGCAGGACCCTGTACCCTTGACTCCCATCTGTGAAATGGGGACAATGTTCAGCGTTCCCCCAGCTGGCCTCATAGGACTAGATAATAATAATAACAACTACCACTTATACAGCGTTTACTGGGTGCCAGGCACCGGGCCAAGGGCCTCACTGAGCACCAGAGAAACTGCAGCTTTTATGTTGACGTTTGTCAGGGGTTTAGGAGACGCCCTCCCCTGCTGCAGATCTCTACCCACTGGGGGACCTGTTGGGGGGCAGGGGTGGGGGTTGCTTAAGTGACCAGGTCCCAGAGTGCTCAGGGGTCAGAGGCAGGGCTTGACCAGGTGTCTCTGAGCTCCAGGCCAGCTGTGCAGCCCCTCCACCACGGCTGCTTCTGTTCCCTCCGGGCAGTGGCCCTTTGGACAGCTGCCCTTCAGTCTTCCGGCCCTTGGGTCATCCAACAGTCCGGGGGTCACACGGCTAACAGGACTTTCTTCATGGAATCACAGACCTCCAAGAAGGAAGGGCTCCCAGAGGGAGTGGAGGCCAACCGTCCCTACCCAGGAGAGGTGGTTGTGTAGCCTTTGTTTGAAGCCCTCCGGTGATGGGAAGCTTGCTAGCTCCATCCACAAGGCCAGGGACCTCTCTATTGCACCATGCTGCCCCCCAGGAAAGAGACCCGAGGCTCTTACCTCCTGGAGACATTCATGCTGTCCGGTGCTGGTGTGGGTATTCAAGACCCCTGGGAGTTCCGCTCTCAGGCTCCTGGCTTTGGCCCCTCAACGTGCCTGTGGGCAGACAGGAGCTGCTTGCCTGAAAGCCTCGTCCCCCACGAGCAGCCGGCCCCCTCGGTCACCCAAGACAGAGCCTAGGGCTCCGCATCTAGGCTGACGCCAACCGGGAAGCCCAGGGACCAGCCCCAACTCTGCTCTCTTTGGACAGCTGCAGCTGGCCTGTGTCCGCCCCCAGGGGCAGGCGGGAGAGCAGCCAGCCAGGAAGAGTCCTCCACGGCTCTGGCCAGACCCGGCAGCCCCAAGGAGGCAGGCCTCTTCTGAGCAGCAGAGAGAGAGATAGAGAGAGTGTGTGTGTGTGTGCGCGCGCATGTATATGTGTGTGTGAGTGTACGTGTGTGTACACGTGTGTGCGTGTGTGTGGGTTTGTGTGTGTAAACACGCTGCTCGCCCTTGTTTTGAAATCTGCGTGAGCATCTTCAGCCAGGGGAACGCGGTCAGGGCCAGCCTAGACATGGCAAGCTGCCAATATCACCGGTGGGCGTGCCCTGCAAGCGAGACTGGAGCTGGGGATACCTCTGTTTCATCAATCAGTCAAACAGATGCTCTAGGCGCCGAGCCCTCCGCTGGAGAGTATCTTTCCGTGGATCGGGGAGACTTGGTCACCCCCGGGGCTCGGCTGGTTTGTGAAGGTGCAAGCCCCTTGGAAACCCGGCATGGCATCGGTGGGTCTGGCGGGGGCTGTGTCCGGCCAAGACTCAGGCGAGGCAGATCGCCTCGGCCTCCCCGCCTCATCCCCAACGGAAGAAGGACCTGCTATGCTTGGACTTTTCCCTCGGCTTTCTCACAGTGTCCCCTAAACAGTCGTGATGGCAGCAGCGTGGAACCAAAGGACCCGAAGACAAATTAAACACGTGGGGGAGGCGGCTGGCAGAAAAACAACATGGGGCCTATGGGGAACTTTGAAGCCCACCCCCGAGGGGAGACAGGAGTACCACTTTGCCACACAAGTTAAGCTTGAGCCTGCTTTCCCCATGTGTCAGAGGCTTTGGGGAGAGGGGAAAGGATGTTTTGTGCCAACTGTTTTTTATCGTAAATACCCCTTTTCTATAAAGGCTAATGAAATATGGCTGACTAATGGATACCAACTGTTAATCGTGGCGCGGGGAGCACACTGGTGGGGGCTCGGGAGCTACAGTAACAGAAAGACATCCCTCCCCAGCCCTTCCGACGCAGCTGCCGTGGCCCGCCACAGAAGTCTGGAGCTTGGGGTGCAGGGTGAGCAGGCAGCCTCCTCCCATCCTCAGGCCACAACAAGGGTGCTGGCCAGCTCCTAGGAGTCGGAGGGCTCTGCTGTGTGAGCTCTCTGGGGCTCAGTTTTCCGGTCTGTAAAATGAGAGGTTTTGACTAGAGGCTCCCTAAAATTCCTTCTAACTCTAAAGACTATGATTTCTGTCCAACCAGCTAACCCGCATTTATTAATCACCTATTGTATGCCAGGAAGCCTGCTTGGCATTGAGGAGAACAGTTCCTGCCCTCGAGGAGCTTACACTATACATAGGAGGATATACAAAAGCAGCAGAACCAATGTCCTCCTGATTCCAGGTCTGACCCTTCCTAACAATCAGAGAAGCCTCTAGCCTCAATGTCCTCCATTTTACAGGCAGGGAAACTGAGGCCCAGAGAGATTGATTTGCCCAAGGCAGGATTTGTTTGTTTGTTTGTTTGTTTGTTTGTTTTGCCTAGGCAGTGGTGTTAAGTGACTTGCCCAGGGTCACACAGCTAGTAAGTGTTATGTGTCTGAGGTCATATTTGAACTCAGGTCCTCCTGAATCCAGGGCCGGTGCTCTATCCACTGCGCCACCTAGCTGCCCCCCCGAAGGCAGGATTTGAACCCAGATTCCCTAACTGCAAACCAAGACTCTTTCCATGACCCCACACCTTTGAGGCTTCTGCTCCAAAATTTGGTCCTCTGGCACTCCCCGCCTCCCCACTCCCAAGATCAATCAATCATCTGTCTTTACAAGTAGAGGGATTGTCCACCACGTGTCCCTGATGTACTGTGCCTTCCCGCCATCCACCAATCAGATTTCGGCCTATGGCCTTACAGCCAATGCGCATGCGCTCGACCGCCGGCCAGACTACATCCCCCAGAAACCCAAGGGGCTGAGGGAGCCGGAAGGGGCCAGCCCAGCTTGATTCAAACAGACCAATGATCAGCGAGTCCCTCCGGACACGTGGTTCGTGTCGTGCCGAGGGGCGGGGCAGGGAGAGGAAACGATGCTCGGTTTTAAATCAGTTGGCGGCAGCGGCGGCAGTGACAGGTGAGGCGATGACGGGAGTCTCCGGTAAGGACGAGACAAGCCGAGCCGGACGCCCTCGGGCCTGGCTCCGAAGGAGCGTCCCGCAGTCCTTGGCGGAGGGAGGGAGACCAGCGGGCATTGCTGTGGGGGTGGGCTGGCTCCCCCCACGGAGCCCCAATGGAACGTCCCACCAGGCACCTGCCCCCCCCCCTCGCCTGCCCTCCATGGAACGTCCCGCAGGGGGCGGAGCCACGTGGTACTTGTTCCCTCCCCCCCGCCCGGGGCCCCAAGGGAACGTCCCGCTCCCAGCCCCGCCCCCTCCCGTGGAATGACGGAGGGAAGGGCAGAGAGGATGAACCCGAGGCACCTTTTGCCAGGTGGAGAAACTGAGGCCGGGAGATCGGAAGAACCAGCCGTCCCCCAGGTCACAGAATCAGGCGCCCCCCCCTCCCTCGCCCCCAATCAGGGATCCTGGGCTAGAAAAGGGGAACGGTTAGAGGAAGGTCAGCAAGAAGTGACCAGTGGGTCAGTCTGGGCCACACTTGCCTGTTAAACACGTGGGAAAACTGAGGCTGAGAGTGGAAGAGCTGGGCCAGATGGTAAGGCTGGCCTAGAACCCAGGCCCTCAGACTCGAAATTCATCCCTCTTTACAACAGGTGGCACTGGGTCCAGGGACCTGACCCCAAAACTGGGTGAACTGAGGCCCATGGTTTGAGCTCTTGGAGCCTCAGCCTCTGGCCCTCAGTTTCCTCACCTGTCTGATGGGCAGGTTTGACCCACTGGTCACTTGTAGCTGGCCCTTCTCTAACCCTGCCCACTTTCTAACCCAGGATCCCTGGTTTAGGGGTGGGGGTGGGGGTCTGGCCCTTGTGGGACCCCGGAGAAATCTCTTCTGTCCTGCCTCAGCTTTACCATCTGTGAAAAGGGAGGCTTTGGATTAAATAGTTTCTGAGTGCCTCACCCCACTGGCCCTGGCCCTGGAGGTAGGTCATACTCCTTTGCTGGGTCTCAGTCTCTGCCTCTGTGAAACAAAGGTCTTCTGAGGTCTGAAAGGGAGGGACTTTAGGGACCCTCCTCCTTTTGTGGCCACAAAGGTCAGGTGACCTCTCCGTAGTCCTCCAGGTGACCATCAGTGGCAGGTCTACTGACCATGACCCCCCTGTTCTATTAAATGATGTTTTTGACCTACTTCTCTTCTATCCTTTGGGGCTAAATGTCTTGAAAAGCCTGCCTACAGCCCACTGCCTCCAATTTCTCTTCTCTCACTCCCTCCTTAACCCCTTACAGTCCAGCTTCCAACTTTATCATTCCACCAAAACGGCCCTTTCAAAATGACCAGCAGTCTCCGAGTGGCCACATCCAAAGGGCTTTTCTCAGGCCTCATCCTCCTCGACCTCTCTGCAGGTGGTCTGACACTGTTGGTCACTCTCCCCTCCTCTATATGTCTTTTCTCTAGGCTTTTAGACACCCCCTCCCCTTTTCCTGGTTCTCCTCCTACCTGTCTGACCCCTCCTTCTCTGTCTCCTTTGCTGGATCCTCCTCCAGGTCACACCCTCTTCCTTCAGACCTCTGTCCTAGTCCCTCTGCTCTTCTCCCCTAGACTGCTTCACTTAGTGATCCCATCAGCTCCCATGGATTAAATGACCATCTCTACGAAGGTGATTCTCAAATCTACCTGTCCTGCCCCAAACTCTCTGCTGACTTCCAGTCTCACCTCTCCAACTGCCTCTCAGACATCTTGAACTGGATGTCAAGCAGACATCTGAAACTGTGTGTCCAAAACAGAATTCATCATCTTTCTCCCTAAACCCTCCCCTTTCCTACCTTCCCTATTAATGTTGAGGGCACCCCTTTCTTCTCCCTGTCTCAGGCTCTTCACTCTCACCCGCCCCACACACACACAACACATCCAAGTGGTGGCCAAGGCTTGTGGATTTCACCTCTGCAGCATCTCTTGTCCATCTCACCTCTGCAGCATCTGTG